TAATACTTGATTCCAACCCAAAAAAATAATGCTCACATTAGGGATAGAAAATCTTGCTTATATTGGGAAAATATAGGCACTGTCTTTTATAATGGCAATTGTGGTATATAATTCTCAATTCCTTATTACATTAATCTGATTCTCTTGTAAAGCATCGAGATTTATGGATTATTCTGGAGATCCTGTGTATGTACCTTAACAAAATTAACACCATTGCCCACATCCTTTGCCCTTCTTTAAAAAAAAAAAATGGGCCCAATTTTAAAAGTAAACAATTTCATTTATTTATTTATTTATTTATTTATTTTTATTTTTGAAAAAGAATTTAAACATTTTATTTATTTCTGAGAGAGAGAGAGACAGACAGCATGAGCAGGGGAGGGTCAGAGAGAGAGGGAGATACAGAATCTGAAACAGGCTCCAGGCTCTGAGCTAGCTGTCAGTACAGAGCCCAATGTGAGGCACGAACTCACAAAACTGTGAGATCATGACCTCAGCTTAAGTCGGATGCTTAACCGACTGAGCCACCCAGGCGCCCCAACAATTTTATTTTAAGTATATAAAACTTGAATCCTCTTCTGTTCCATAAGTGTAAAGTATCTAAAAATCAAGCCTGCAATGATGTTTTAGTTTTAAAAGTATGATTTTCTCTAGTCTTTTAAAACTGTTTATTTTATCTAATTCTAGGTTAAATTAATTTACATAACTTTTCTAATTATTTCTTTTAAATCTACCTAATTATTTTCTTTAATTTACATAAATTGTATTATCCTTTATTCATCCTCATTATCTTAGAGGTGGATATCACCTACAGGAAATCTTCAAGGATTTTTCACTTAAGTCAAAAGTCTAGCTTTTGATAAGATATGGGTGTGTGTTTTTAGCAGACTACTCATATGTTATACCCATTATTAAAAATTACTCTTAAAATACCAGAACAAAGTTTCCAAAGAAAAAATAATAGAAAGCTGAATAATTTGAACTAAAACAATATGTTACTCTTAAGTATTTGCAGAGTATATTAAAAACTCCATTTTTAATCTGAAGTATATGGGTAAATGTCTCAATTCTTCACTTAGAATAGAACATGTATTCATGTTAATAAAAAAATTATAAGAAAACATCATCTGGAATCTTTTTTGAAGGAGTAGCATGTTGAGAGTCCTTCCTTACTGATGAATGAAAGTGAGCATTTTGTTAAACTTTTAAGGCCAATTTTGCCAGATTAAAAAAATGCTTATGTAATCTTTGATATTAGTTATGTAATAATATAATAATAACAACAACATAGTAGCAAATGTTGATTTTAGAATGTAGGATATTTGAATTCTATCCAAAAATAGGCAATCAAGGCAATCTACTCCAGCAAGTTTTACCAACTTTACCCAACACCTTTCTTACATTTGAAAAGACATGTGTTTCCTCAAGCTGGTAATTCATATCTCTGTAGTCATCTACGTTTGTTTGAAATTACGTGACATCAATCTTCGTATGTCCTGATCACCTAGTTGAAAGATTTTGGTCATAGAGTCCTTAACAGTCCATCTCAGGATCCAACCAACACTTGAAATAAAAAATGTACATCAGCCCAATGTTCCAGGTCTTAGTGTTCCACCAGTCTTAGGTTAATTAAAGGCAGATACCATATGATCTGGAGTCAGAGCACTTTCTTTATCAATGTATATTTGTTGAGAAAGGGATTCACTCTGAGGCTTTATCTTACAAAAGAATTCCCTTCGTACATATTCTGTTAAAGATAGGCTAAAAAGATCTCCAGTTTGCACATAGAGTCTTAGGAGTTTCTTTATTTTAAAATTTGTATTCAGCCACATTCTCACCCACATGGAAAAAACAAACAAAACACACACAAACATGTTTAAAAAACATTAAGCTAATTGTTTCCTTGCTATCTTAATAGACTAGGGAGTTAGCTAAAGGGATGGGTATAGTGATAATTATGCTATTAGTAATATATTAATAACAGTATATAACATTTACTATGTGCCAACCATTACTTTAAGCATTTTACATATATTAATTCACTTAGTGTTAAAACTATCCTATGAGTTAAACACTGTCATTACACCTATTTTAAAGATTAGGAAATTGAAGAGTAGCAAGGTTAAGTAAGTTAGAAATACTATGAGTGGCAGAGCCTAAGCCCTGTAATTCCAGAACTTGTGATTTTAATCACTACTTTATGCTGTTCAAGCATTTAATTTTCCAAAGAAAAAGCAAACAATACAATTAGGGACTGGATCCTCTCAAGTCTGAAATTCAATTCCACTTCACTCTCACTATATATTCACAACTGACTCTACATATACTATTTCTAGTTAAAGTTGGCCACTGGCGAAAATATTACTAAGTAATTATTTTAAGAGAGAAAAACATAATGTACATTTCTATCGAGTAACACTCATAAGGAAAAGATCCAGGACATATAAAGAATATTTTTATCCTGCTGAATGAATAGAAACTAACATACACTGAGAATTTACAATATTGCAGGCAGTATGCTAAGTGCTTTACATGCAGTAGCTAGGTTACCCCTTGTTATCACCCTCTGGTGTAGGTGCTATTATCTTCACTTATTGAGCGTAGAAATAAAGATCAGAGTGACTGAGTTGCTTACCCAAGTGTCAGAAACAAAATTTCAAGCCAGATAGTACTGCAACTGCTTCCTATGAAAAATGAATAAAAAGTGTCAAGTTAGATGTCAAAAGGAAAAGTTCTAAAAATAAGAGGGCTATTGAAGATGGAAATGTCCATGCTGGAGTAGATTTCAAATGTAATACAATTTTTGAAAACCAACTAACAAGATAAAAATGCACCACAAACTATGATAGATAAAAAGGAAAGAATAAACAGCTATTATTTTCCCATTATTCCCGAACAGGAAAGTGCTCAGGAAAATTAAGTGTCAATACGGTAAAGGCAAAATTAAACTTTTTTTTTTTCTAAGCACAGACACAATTAACCTGTGAAAATGACTCATACTGGATGGTAATGAAGCAGATAGCTTAGTGAAATTGAGAGAACATATCTGATTCACTATAATAGGATTTTCAGTTAGATCAAATCACACATTGTATTAGTCATCCTCAGTCAGGGCATACGCTGATGAGCAAAAAGGGTCACATAAGAAAATCTTATTTTCCTCCAAGGCCAGAGGGTCATGATTAAAAATTATGATAATAGTAAATATTTATGTCATGTGCAAATGAGGGAATGGCATGTAGATGTGCCAGCAGTGTGTGAAGGCATAGTTCTGTGTCTAGTGTGCTACTATGTACTGCTTTGTCCAGTTAGTTTCGGTTCTCTCCCTCATACCAGGGAGGAAAAAGGGACAAAGGCGTCCTCTGTTTCAAGAGAAGAAAAAGAGTCCCCATAATTTCTCATGCATTAGGAGATGAACTACCCTTAGAATGCCGTGGACAGTCCGGAAGGTGGTTCATAAAATGACAAAAAGCAAGGGCACGACTCACCACAGGAATTACAGGTCTCACAGTTTTAAAGATCTCTACACTGAGGATCACTGACTTGGATTTTTATTCTAATTCTCACCTCTCGTGTGATAATAGACAATAAGCTTTCACTTTATTTTTTTTAATGTTTTATTTATTTCTAGGAGAGAGAGAGACAGCGTGAGCAGGGGAGGGTCAGAGAGAGAGGGAGACACAGACTCTGAAACAGGCTCCAGGCTCTGAGCCGGCAGTCAGCACAGAGCCCGACGCGGGGCTCGAACCCACGAACCGCGAGATCATGACCTAAGCGAAAGTCGGACGCTCAACCGACTCAGCCACCCAGGCGCCCCAATAAGCTTTCACTTTAAAGTGTTGGCATTTCCCTTTCTGTAAAGCGTTTGAATTAGTTAAAATCATATGAGATTATATATTTATAATATTCCTTTGAATTATCACTGCCTGATTCTTACAGAAGGCTGTTATCCTATCCTTATAAGTGTATGGTACAGAGAACGATTTCGGTGTTTCTTTGAGATTTACCATTCCTCTAGCTCCACGAATAAAGCCTGTTCTGAGCTTTCACAGCTGTGCTTCTGCTGGACCTACTCGTCTCTTGGCAAAAGGGCATTCCCATTATTTTATTTCTTATAAATGACTTTTAAAAGTTTATCTACTTGAAAAATGTCAACATTTGTTTGTTTTTGAGAGAGAGAGAAAGACCGAGTGCGAGTGGGGGAGGGGCAGAGAGAGGTGGGGACAGAATCTGAATCAGGCTCCAGGCTCTGAGCTGTCAGCACAGAGCCCAGTGCAGGGCTTCAACCCACAAACTGCGAGATCATGACCTGAGCCCAAGTCAGAAGCTCAACCAACTGAGCCACCCGGGTGCTCCCAAAATTTATCCATTTTAGACACAGAGAGAGAGAGAGAGAGAGAGAGAGAATGCATGCATGCGTGTGCACATGAGTAGGGGAGAAGCAGAGAGAGAGGCAGAGAATCCCAAGCAGTCTCCTGTCAGCACAGGGCCCGAGGTGGGGCTTGATCTCATGAAACTGTGAGATCCTGACCTAACAAAATCAAGAGTGGGATACTCATTTGACTGACCCCCCCAGGCACCTCCTTCTTATTATTTTGATAACTCGGGGTGCATACTGCAAGTCTGAATATGCTTACTTTTTCAACATGGTCCTTGTTCATTATACTAGGGTTTTTTTTTCCCCCCTAAACAGTCTGTATCTATGTTCTCACTCTGTGTTCTGAAAATTTTTACCCTTGTGTGCTCTCATCACTTATATTTCTCTGGTTTTCTCCAGATCACTATTTCAAATAAAATATGTTGAGAGAGGGCCTGCCCTACCATTCACATACAATGAACTTCAAAGCAAAATTGAAAACTATCATATGGAATATAATAACACTGTAAGGAATCCAAGAATAAGAATCCACTGTATGTTTAAATTAAACATTTTATGAAACAGAACATAAGTAGTGGACACTATTGTAAAATGTGTCACCCTCTCGTTTTTGCTTTTACAGATCTAGATAATGTGGAAGGAATTGCTGTAGACTGGATTGGAAATAACCTTTACTGGACAAATGATGGCCATAGGAAGACCATTAATGTGGCCAGGCTGGAAAAAGCTTCTCAGAGTCGGAAGACTATTTTAGAGGGAGAAATGTCCCATCCCAGAGGGATTGTGGTGGATCCTGTTAATGGGTATGTAATATTTGATCAGCCTAAGATGAGAAAAGTATTACTATTTTTTTCTTTTTACTTAGTAGTAGCAACTTAGATTTAAATTCACACATGAACGGCCTGATTGGGAAAGTTAGTCATTTACTGATTTTCTCTTGTAGAAAATATTCTAAATAAATGTGTCAAAATGTATTTAACTGAAATAAACAGGTTATTTGTATAAAGGATATGTCTACTTGATTAACTCAGACAAGGACCATACTTCTCCATTTTAGACTGCCTGACACCAAGATAAATAATCAATTGAGAGAAGCAATCAATTTAATTTTAAAGGGTATTAAAATTTAATGTATTCAGAACATAGCAAGGATTTTTATTTTTATTTTTTTGGTATATTTACTGTGAGCCAGGCATTGTATTAGACAGGTTCACTATACTCATTTTCTGTAACCCTCACAATTATCTTTTGAATTAGTTGCAATTTTCATCCTTGTTTTATAAAGAAGAAATGGGTAATTGATTTGCAAAAGATCATTTCATTATTAAGTGACCAACTAGATATTTAAACCCAAGCAGTATCTCTCCAAGAATTTACTCATCGCCACTATACTTTACCAGTTTTTACTAGTCTAGGTTAATAGTCGCATAATTTTAGACATAACCATAGTTTTCCTGTAGTGAAGTCATTTTGAAGTATGTACTACTTGTTTCAGGATGGAATAATTTGTGCAATTCTCAGGAATATCTATTTCCTTTTATTTGTATTCAGAGCTATTACCTGAACACAAACAACACTGTGCACACAGAAATACTGAAAAACTGTGAACATTCCTACCAGAATGTCAGAATTAAGTGAATAGATTACATATTTTAAATGTGCAGTTGTTATATGTGACATTTATCACCCCATGTCTTATATTTTAATGTTTCAAAATGACATCACATCACTAAATGAATATTTCTTATATTTTACTACACACATAACAAAAGTACTCCATTGAGTAGGAAGCATGTGGCTTCCTTATAAACTGAGATCACCAGATTGTAGTTCATAGAATTGTTTGTGTTGAGAATAGCTCCAAACACAATTAGGGTGCTTCCTCCTCAGCTGACATTTAAACAGTGGCTGAACTCATTGTATGTGTTTTTATAAGACATAATTGTAAAGTAATTTCAGTGATTTTATGTGTGAATTCTATAATTATCTGTCCTATTCCTGGACTTTTAAACTAAATCATCTATCTGACCTTTAAATCAAGGCAATCTGAATTTTAAGAGAAACTATTTATTACACATCCTCCAAATCTACTTGAAGCAAGATATCTTAAAACAGCATCTTTGTTCTCAGTATTCTGTTAGAGAAATACTTTGTGGTGGTTAAAGAGCCATTGCGGTGCTCACATGACACAAATATGGAGATCATAGAATCATATTATTTAGAAGGAAATATAGAGGCCACTAGTCCCATCTCTCAATTTCTACTCAGAAATCCTCTCCAGTATTTCTCTAATAGATGGCCATCCAACTTAGATCTGAAACCTATAGCATCTACATATTTTATAGTATTGGGGGGCAATTCTAATTGACTTATTAAAGAAATATCTGCATCTCTGTAATATCTACTAACTGACCCTATATTTGCCTCTACTGCTACAAAGAATGACTTTTATACCTCTTCCATCAGACATTTTCTAATAGAATATTGTTATTATGCCCCAACCTGAAACCACATATATTTGTACACACACACACACACACACACACACACACATTTTTCCCCCAACAACATACTACACTCAGATTTCTGCACTAGGTATACAGTGGTTAATAAAACAGGCATAACCTTAATCCTTATAAAGCATCTTCTGTTCTCTGCAAGGTAAGGGGTAGGTAGATAGAATACGAAATAACTGCCAAATGAGCAACTAATGTAATTTCAACAGACCAAAATGGAGGAGGAAAACTAATGGGATGACATGATGGAGACTAATAGGTAGAAACCAGTTTCAGTAGGCTTGCTGAAAGGCATAAGAAGGCATCATTTAAACCAAGATTTAATTGTAGAGAAGGACTCGGCAATGGAGAGTGAGAGAAAGAGTATTTCAGATCAAGAAAATGGTACATTTGAAGATCTTAGGTTTGGTAAAAGCTGGCGTGTCCGAGGAATGGCAATGAGGACAGTGGAGATGCACTGATGATAGCAAGGAGAGAAATGATGGAGATGCACTTGGAAAGGAAGCGGGACCTTGTCCACCGGGATGACAGCTTTGTACTTTCTCTTCAGTGCAAGTAAAATAGGGAACTGAGAATCAGATGTATATTTTAAAAAATTGAATCTGACTTTCCTGTGAAGAATGGATTAGAAATTAGAAGTAGTAGTGGGGTTGTGTGAATTTAATTGTCCCAATAATTGCTTGACCATAATATATTTTTTGAAGAAGAAGTGACTTTAGTTTGGAAAAGTCAAATTGAAATAGCACAGCATATCTTTAAGCAGAACATTACAAAATAAGAAACATAATTTATTAACACTTTTTTCTGCCATAATACCCATTTACAGCTATACACAGAAGGAGAGAATTACAGGTTTTCTTTACCATAATAGCCTATTAACAAAATTACTCATTCTAGAGATCTACTTTATACAGAGCTTTATAAACAATTACAGAATCATTAATGAATTTGTTGATTTAATTCTTTATGAAAATATACCACTAATTGCCATATAGGAAATCTAGTATGCTTGGAGTAAACACACACACACACACACACATACACACTACCTATATTATAAAAGAGAATGAAATAATGTTCTTCAGAAAATCATTGAGGTTTTTAATTCAGACTTGAGCTTTAGAGGATGAGTAGGATATCCAAAAAAGTAGATTTGGTCTCAGGGTCTTAGAATAGGCAGTCATAAGGTTAGTCACTGTCCTCTGAAAGGACTATGCAAGTACTTGTTTAGAGGCAGGGAAGTTAATGGCCGTTTGAGATGAGATGAATTCATTAAGCCTGGAGCAGAGGGCATGTGAAGGAACACAGTGAGAGACAAAACTAGAAATATGCAGAAACCTTCAATGTTGGGATTAAAAGATGGGATATTTATTTCTGACAACAGAATTATTGAAGGGTTGTGAGAATAAAAGTCACATTTTTTAATTCATGACCTAGGAAGACAAGTAATACCAATATGACAGGCATATGGGACCAACCTGTTAGGAGTTCCCATTGAAAGGGATAAGAAAGAGACTGTGGCATTTGTAATAGGAACAGACAAGAGACACTGAACAGGTGGAATTGGCAGACCTCAACAATTCTATCAATATTGAAACGGGGATGATAAAGCTGGAGAAGGCATCGGTTATAATGGCATGTTTCTCAAGCTGATAGCTACAGGTGAATTCCCTCCTTTCCAATAATTTCACACTTCATAATATTTATCAATAACTTAGGAACCTGCGTATTCAGTTCTGCCTTCTCAAAATGTAATCTGTAGTAAATATGTCCAAAGCTGAGTGCATATTCCCCCTCAAACATGATATCCAGTATCTCTATCTCAATTAATAGTACCACATTCTCTGGTTAACTGATAGCTATTATGTCAGCACTAAACTGGGTTTTTTAACTGTGAAATTTTTGGCAGAGAAATGCTTAAGGATTTAAATATTTCTAGGATTCACCCACCACATAATACAATTTAATTGGGATACATGATTAACATCAAAAGTCCAAGCTTAGTGCTATAAGAGCAAGCTTATTCTTATGAATAAGAAATAATCCCTGACTTTAATTATTTTAATTTTGAATTGAAACCATAAGACATGTGACATGTCAAATATAATACAGGGCATAAGTGCAATAAAAACTATAAAATAACTAAAAAATGTTACTAGGAAACAACAGAAAGGTCTTATTTTGACAGAAAGGCTAGAGATAGACTTCATCAAATAATAGAAAAATAGTGGTGCAATTTCCCTTGCCATATTAGCAGAAGACTCACTTAACCTAATAATTACTTAATTATTACCCATCTCACATATAAAAAGATTTATATTAGTTTCTGCTTACTGGAGTTCCTATTTTCTGTGTTTAGGAATCATCACATTTCATATTGATTATAAGGCTTCCACAACATAACTTTTCATTGCATAATGAAACCGGTGGATAATAATCACATACCTACCTTTTGTTATACTGGCACCCTTGTTTAAATATTTTTCTTATACTTTATTTGAATAAAGATAATCTTAGATAATGGTTCAGATCACAAACAACAATTTCTTCAAATAGGAAAATAATATAAAATATGCTTAGGTTATCCAGAATTACCCCTCATGTATGTGTGTCTGCCTGGATGTGCAATTTGGGTTGGAGAATCAAAAGAAAAACTAGAGAATCAAAAGAAAAACCACAAAGTTTTTCTTTGTGGTCAAAAGAAAAACTAGAGGCGAAGATAATTGCAATCTTAACAAGCTGTAAATTAGCAACAACAACAAAATTGCATTGACTAACCGTATTTAATATTTCAAGAGAGTATTAATAGAGATTTAAAAAGCTGTATATTGCTCATTCACATAGTCCATTTATGCAGTTGTAGTCAGCCACTTATACTAAACTAGTATAGGACTATAGCAAATAGAATGACTCTTTCCTTTGTTCCAATTGTCCCAATAATGAGACCACTTGAAGAACTTGCTGGATGCAAGATAAACATATTTCCATGTTTATTTCTAGTATTAGAATGTCTTTTGACTTCATAAAATTCACCATCTCAATATATTTCCAGGTCTAAAAGGACATAGCAGCGTAATTGTAAACTGTCAAAGGAACTTTAAGAAGTTTAACTGGCACAAAATAATGGATAGTGTGTTACATCCTCACTTGTCCCAAATCTTCCTGTTTAGATCTCAGAAGGATTTTTTGTCATGGATACAGATTTTTCCCAAATGACCTCTGGAATTATTTAGGGTCCACAAATGTGGGAGGCAGAGGATCTACTACGGGCATTTCTAAGGTCAGCAGCTTAGAAAAGGTTTAGAACTTTAGGAAGTTGAATGTGAGGCAACTGAATTAAAACCTACACTTTAATTAATAACTCCAGAACTTTCACATGACCCTAGAACAACACATGTGGAGGGTTTTAACCTCATTCATGAAGGAATTGGAACTTTCGCTCAAGGCCCTCTCTCCCAGTATTATAGCTTACACAAAAGACTTGTTTTTAAAGGCAGAAGCTTTTGTTTGAGATAGAAATTAAAGCTCAAAATCTCAAGGTCAGTCAACCTGATGTTATTAAACTCATGTGCAGCTAAATCATCTTCTGTGGGTTTCGAGGTAATAATAAGCAGCAATAAAAGCATAGATAATTTGCATCAGGAAGACAAATTAGACTTGGCCAGATAAACCCAGTATGACCATACCCTTTAGCACAAAGACAATCCAATTGCCTGTCTTACAAAAATAATAATTCATCTGAGATTAAATAAAGCCTAGAGTAGATCATTAACAGCACCATGCGTTCTCATGTCAGTCAGTCTCTCCTTTCAATCACACAATTGATTGCATGTTTTATGAAGTAGACAACATTCAAAAATACTAATTTCTCAAAGATTATTTTTCAAACTTGGTATCGACACCAAAGAGGATCAATATTTGGCACTTACTGTTAGATTAAATGATGAATAAGACCAGTAAGTATGGTAGTGGTGGTAGTGGTTTTCCCTAATGTGTCTAAATGGACTGGCCTCACTGAACACATCTTTACTTCCCTGAGTACTTCACAGATGTTGCTTCCCTTTGGCAGATTTGAGCATTTCAATAGGAGAATAAATCAGAATGTATTTAGATTTTATGGAAATGCCCAATCTGAAGAAGTGTCCCTCTATAAGGTAGCTTATGCGTGCACTCTTGTTTGTAATGTCTTAGTTGGATGTATTGGACAGACTGGGAGGAAGATGAAATAGATGACAGCGTGGGAAGGATCGAGAAGGCCTGGATGGATGGCTTCAATCGGCAGATTTTTGTGACTTCAAAGATGCTGTGGCCAAATGGTTTAACTCTGGACTTTCACACCAACACATTATACTGGTGTGACGCCTATTATGATCATATTGAAAAAGTGTTTTTGAATGGAACTCACAGGAAGGTAAAAGACAAATGCTGCTGTTTTTTGTTTTTTGGTTTTTTTTTTAACTTGCAGGCTTCTTCACAGAGCCTTGTTGTGTTGTGTTAAAAATACTTTTAAGTTTATTTTTACCCCTCTGAAGTGGCTGCCAGTAGTCTCTGTGGGGTGGCTAAAGGAGGCTAAGCATTAAGTAGTGCAGCTGGCACTTGCCTCCGGGAGACCACGACCAGCTCACTGTGGTATGCCAGGATTTGTGGGACTGTTAAAAGAAGCTCTCAGGATATCAGAGCTGTTTTAAAATGCAGTTTTTCTACATTATTGATGAGTTTGCTATGACCAAGCAACCAACTCTATTCAAATATCTTTTAATATTTGCAGCTGAAATTTAACCTATATATTATGAAAAGGTAATTATAGTACATTTATTTGAATAAAGAACTTCGTGACATTGGAACTGAAACTGAACTGAACTTCAGGGCTATTGCTATGAATTACATCAACTTTCTTTTGCCTCTTTTGGTAGGACCATTGCAAAATGATTTTTAAATTCTTGGATAAATCGAAGATGGAGTTGACTGTGTGACAGAGGCAGTGTTGACAAAACATCACCTCCTCATTTCGTCTTATAGTAACCTAAGTGTACATACATTATGAACTGACTTCAGTTGTTTACTTAAATAACAGAAAATGGAATGTTAGAAATTATCAAAATGCTTCCATTGATATTATAATAATAGCATAATACTATACTTCATTCCTTTTTTGGAAGGAGAGACTGTGCGATTGGCCAAGCCTACTCATTATGCATTCTGTTTAACAATAAATAGTACGTTACTCAGTTAATGCTATTTCAATCATTGGTTGACTCTAACTGTGCTTTTAATATTTTTCACCCAATAGTAAAATTGATTGGCATTTAACCAAATGCCACATACTTTAAGAAGTGCCAAATAAATATTTATGATTCCTTTGAAGGTATTGATATATACACCATGTAGATAACATTTTAATGACTAGCATACTTTAGTATTCATGGATGTTACAAAATAAAAGTAAGAATCTGTCTTGATTATTCAACATATGAAAATTGTGATATGAAGAATTCAGATAAAAGGAGCAAAAATTGAATTTCTAACTTCACATTATTTAGATAACTTCTTCAATTCTTTAATATTAGATGGAGTAAAAAATTATTTTTCATGTCATATATAATATTATCAGAGGTGTTATTCGTTATTCCTCTTCTACAACCCTACATGTGAAAACAGCACTTATCACATGATTGCTCCAGTTAAACAACAACAAAATGCAACTAGAATGTAAAGAATATACTAAAAAAATCAGAAATGAAGTTACCCAGTGAATCTTATTTATCTACTTTCTACTAATAAATGTTTCTATATTCAAAATTAAAATATTTACCTCCCTCTCTGTTATCTCCTAGATTTATTCAGTTTGCATTAGCCCAGTTAAGTAGGAAAATCCCTTTCACTCCCAATGTTGTAAAACCCTGTTTTATCCCTTGGCTGTTGGATAAACAATATCACAATATGCATAATGACACCAATTACTCAGATCAGTTTCTGTTCCAGGTTATGGTACTAGAATATCATAAAGCATAGAGACAGGGAAGAGTGTCAGGCAAAGTCATTTTAATGTTTGCACTTCTAGACCATGTGAGTAATGTTGTATATGAGAGAATTTATGGATGAAATACAAATGGGGTCTCCTTAAAATAACATGTCCTAAAAACAGGAAAATATGCTCACATTGCGAAATCTATTTTTCAAATATACTAAAAGAAAATATGAGTAAAGATATTAGTTACATCATTATCTGTTATACTTATTTGAATGTCATTTTCTCTAGTTATATTTCTAAAGGTCAGTTCAGATTTTTCACAACGTGTTTATGTTTTGCAGATTGTTTACAGTGGGAAAGAGTTGAACCATCCTTTTGGACTGTCACATCATGGGAATTATGTGTTCTGGACTGATTATATGAATGGTTCCATTTTTCAACTAGATTTGGTAACGAATGAGGTGACATTACTGAGACACGAAAGACCACCCCTATTTGGGCTTCAGATTTATGATCCACAGAAGCAACAAGGTATTAAAAACCATATAAACTTGCTTCTGAGTTTTACATAAAATAATACTTCATTGTATTTGCAGAAGCTTTTATTTTCACCGTGTTGCTGAAGTTTTATGATACAAGGTGTCTAGTCACTCCAAAATCAATCAAATCTTAGACTTTGTTACCATAAACATTTATTATTTAGTTTTCAAAATAGCCTAAGCAAGTAACTGGGAATTCTTTTTGAGTGAAGCTCAAAAAGCTGCAAATGGTTTCTTTTTCATGTCATCTTCACTGAAGAAGACTGGTATTTGATGGAAAAAAAATCCACTTAATGTTTCTAAAGAGTATTGTGAGAAGTGAGAAAAACTTGTATTGAGAATGGAATGTTATGTGAAAATATTTTAAAATACAGCATATATGAAAAGAGTTTTGTATAAAGTATCTTAGTGTATTTATCTGATTAGTTTCATATTCATTTAAGGAATGTTTAATTATTTTAAAGGGTATGAAAGTGAAATAATCTACCATGATATTTACATCTCATTGAAATAAGGTAATATCACTGTATGTTTTATGAGCATGAGTTATTAATATTTATTAGGCCATCTGCAAATTGCATGAATCAGAATTTAGGTATTAAAGAATAAAGCCTAGTAAACCATGTAGTAGACTTTTTGTTATGAATCTAAATAGAATCTAAAAGGAATCACTTCTCCTTTTATTTAGACATATTCTTGTGAAAATTAACTGAACATATATTTTAAAAAATTTATGCAACATGTGAGGTAAGAAATACCTGGCTTACTGTAAAATGGACTTGGGCTTAAATCCAGGTCCCACCACTATTTCCTCTGAAACTTTAGACCTATCATGAAAGGTTTGACAAAGAATTGTTTTCTTCATAAAATCCCTGTAAGAATTAAATCACTATTGTGATTACTTAGAACAGTGTCTCCCACACATTTTAAATTATTTTTCCTTTATCATTTCTTAAAAGAGGCATATTTTAATGTTTCCTTCCATATAAGAATGTTAAATAAATATTCAAAGCAGTAATGTGTCACAATTATACTCAAAAGAACACATGCCTCTGATAAAAATATATGGAACCTATTACTGTATTTCATGAGGAACTATGCCTGGTGTTCTAGACGATGCCACTGACATAGAATTTTTGAGAGCTGTCTCTCAGTTAGACAAAGCTTTTTCAAAGTGCTTTATAAAAATTTTTGAATTTTTATAAATTCAAAATGGAAATCTAACCCTAATGACTCACCTTTTTATGCAAGCTTTATTGTAGAAACCATTATGTTCTGTCTTACTGAGACCACGTGTTTGGGCAAATTGATTGATCATTTTTCATAAACTTAGGTGAAATAATTATTCCTAGTTTTCTACCCAGTCTTCGATAGTTAGCCGGATCTTCTGAATAAGTAATAGAGTATGGATAGGATGCCTGGACAACATTTTTTTCGTTTAGTCAGTAGACATTGAATTGGATAAACTACTTAGCATCTAAATTAATCAAAGTAAGCAAAACACACTCAGATGTTCAAATGCAGACATGTTACCATGTTATAAAATTTTTTCTCTCAGTGAAAATTATGCGTGAGAATGGTATTTCTCTTTATAATTTGTGAACATTAGATATTAATAAGTATTTGAAACACAAAGTTTGTGGCACACAAACTTGGTTATATACTGTCTTGTTAGACTGTTTTTCTAAGAATAAAATGGCTGTAGCTGAATAGAAAATCAATTTCTTCCATAGGTACAGATCACTATTTTTCATGGAATGGGATAAACAAGTATTATATAGCCTTGTATTTTCTCTCTCTAACAGATTGTGGTATATGACTATATAACTTATTTAAGTTTATATGTAATATTTATACATGTATCTGTGAAAATATATTACACACATATATATGATATGATAGATAATATCACATATACACACCACCTTGCAGGAATACCATGAGAAACATCCAGGAATGTCATTAATGTACCATCTAAACTCTTTTAGACTTGGTGTCAAAAAATTAGTCAGCTAATTTGACCTCTCCAGATCAGAAGAGACTCTTATCAAATTATTTTTTAATGTAGCAGCTAATTTCAGGAAGGTAGACATATAATCATACTAAACAGAAAGCTACCACTAGAAATGAATTCCTAAGTAATGCATAGGGATTTAGGGCCAAAACCTTTCTTTTTTTCTCATATGCTACTGTTGTTTCTTCTGATTTAATTAATAAACTTTCCTTCGTTTTCATTTATATTAGATATCTACAAAAATTGTTAAAATACTCTTCAGAAACTCCTCATATAAAGTATAGCAATTATATAACACATACTTTTACCTGTTTATTCTCTAGGTTCAGAAGCACACTTTTCTTTTTCCCACATGTTTTAGAGTATGAGATCATCAAAACTAAGTGTAGTATCTAAAACAGGTTTATGACTAGTTTCTTATATAGAATTAAAAATAATAGATTAGCTTCTATCTTAAATATATAAACTGTAATTCTCACTACCAGAAGATGGGCTAAACCTTCTTTTTTTTTAAAAAATACAGTTTATTGTAAAGTTGGTTTCCATATAACACCCAGTGCTCATCCCAACAAGTGCCCTCCTCCATGCTCATCACCCATTTTCCTCCTCCCCTACCCTTCATCAATCCTCAGTTTGTTCTCAAAATTTAAGACTTTCTTAAGGTTTGCCTCCCTCCCTCTACTTAAATACAACCCCCTTCCTCTCCCCTGTGCTCCTTGTTAAGTTTCTCCTGTTCCACATATGAGTGAAAACATACGAGATCTGTCTTTCTCTGCCTGACTTGTTTCACTAAGCATGATACCCTCGAGTTCCATCCACATTGCTACAAATGGCAAGATTTCATTCTTTCTCATCACCATGTAGTATTCCATTGTATATATAAACCACATTCGTCAGCTGATGGACATTTAGGCTCTTTCCATGAATTGGCTGTTGTTAAAAGTGCTTCTATGGGGCGCCTGGGTGGCTTAGTCGGCTAAGCGTCCAACTTTCGCTTAAGTCATGGTCTCGTGGTTCGTGGGTTCGAGCCCCGCGTCGGGCTCTGTGCTGACTGCCAGGTCAGAGCCTGGAGCCTGTTTCAGAGTCTGTGACTCCCTCTCTCTCTGACCCTCCCCTGCTCATGCTGTCTCTCTCTCTCTCTCCTAGAAATTAAAAAAAAAAAAAAAAGTGGTGCTATGAACATTGGGGTACATGTGCCCCTATGCATCAGCACTCCTGTATTCCTTGAGTAAATTCCTAGCAGTGCTATTGCTGGGTCATAGGAGAGTTCTATTGTTAATTTTTTGAGGAATCTCCACAGTTTTCCAGAGTGGCTGCACCAGTTTGCATTCCCACCAACAGTGTAAGAGAGTACCTCTTTCTACACATCCTCACCAGCATCTGTAGTCTCCTGATTTGTTCATTGTAGCCACTCTGACTGGTGTGAGATGGTATCTCAATGTGGTTTTGATTTGTATTTTCCTGATGATGAGGGACGCTGAGCATCGTTTCATGTGTCTGTTGGCCATCTGGATGTCCTCTTTGGAGAAGTTTGTGTTCATGTATTCTGCCCATTTCTTCACAGGATTGTTTGTTTTTTGGGTGTGGAGTCTGCTGAGTTCCTTATAGATTTTGGATACTACCCCTTTATCTGATATGTCATCTTTTACCATTTTGTTGGCTGCCTCTTAGTTTTGTTGATTGTTTCCTTTGCCATGCAGAAGCTTTTTATCTTGATGAGGTCCCAATAGTTCATTTTTGCTCTTGATTCCCTTGCCTTTGAAAATGTGTCGAGTAAGAAATTGCTGTGGCTGAGGTCGAGGAGGTTGTTTCCTGCTTTCTCCTCTAGGGTTTTGATGGTTTCCTGTCTCATATTCAGGTCCTTTATCCATTTTGAGTTTATTTTTGTGTATAGTGTGAGAAAATGATCTAGTTTCATTCTTCTGCATGTTGTTGTCCATTTCTCCCAGCACCATCTGTTAAAGAGGCTGTCTTTTTTCCATTGGATACTCTTTCCCTGCTTGTCAAAGATTAGTTGGCCATACATTTGTGGGTCCAGTTCTGGACCTATTCCATTGGCCTATGTGTCTGTTTTTGTGCCAATACCATACTGTCTTGATGATGACAGCTTTGTAGTAGAGGCTAAAGTGTGGGATGGTGATGCCTCCTGTTTTGGTTTTCTTCTTCAATATTACTGTGGCTATTTAGGGTCTTTTGTGGTTCCATATCAATTTTAAGATACTTTGTTCTAGTTTTGAGAAGAATGCTGGTGCAATTTTGATTGGGACTGCATTGAACGTGTAGATTGCTTTGGGCAGTATTGACATTTTAACAATATATATTTTTCCAACCCATGAGCATGGAATGTTTTTTCATTTCTTTGTGTCTTCTTCAATTTCCTTCATAAGTTTTGTATAGTTTTCAGCATACAGATCTCTTATATCTTTGGTTAGCCTTATTCCTAGGTATTTTATGTTTTTTTGTGCAATTGTGAATGGGTTCAGTTTCTTGATTTCTCTTCCTATTGCTTCATTATTGCTATATAAAAAATGCAGCCAATTTCTCTACATTGATTTTGTGCCCTGCAACTTTGCTGAATTCATAGATCAGTTATAGCAGACTTTTAGTGGAGTTTGTTGGGTTTTCCATATAGAGTATCATGTAATCTGTGAAAAGTGAAAGTTTGACTTCATCTTTGCCAATTCCGATGCCTTTGATTTCCTTTTGTTGTCTGATGGCTGACGCTAGGACTTCCAACACTGTGTTAAACAACAGTGGTGAGAGTGGACATCTTGATCTCAGGGGGAAAGCTCTCAGTTTTTCCCCAACTGAGGATGATATCAGCTCTGGGATTTTTATAAATGGGTTTTGTGATGTTTAAGTAAGTTCCTTCTATCCTGACTTTCTCTCCAGGGTTTTTATTAAGAAAGGATGCTTAATTTTGTCAAATACTTTTTCTGCATCAAGGACTAAAAATTCTTATTTAAATCTCACAAAAG